GGACAGCGGGGCATGTGGCAGCCTGGTGGCTCTAACCACTCTCCACCCCAGCCCCACACCTAGTGCCCTCTCAGGCCTGAAGATGTATTATTTTTTTAAATATATACATTTTTAATTGATTTCAGTGAGGAAGGGAGAGGGAGAGAGAGAGATAGAAACATCAATGATGAAAGAGAATCATTGATCGGCTGCCTCCTGTACGCCCCCCACTGGGATCAAGCCCACAACCTAGGCATGTGCCTTGACCAGGAATCAAACGGTGACCTCCTGGTTCATAGGTGGATGCTCAAGCACTGAGCCACGCTGGCCAGGCTGTCTGCTCTCCCCACGCCCAAGCCCTGAGGACCCTAACCCAGAGCTCCCTCACACCTTCCTAAGTCCCACTCCTCAGGCCTCCTTCCCCGTGACCTCTACCCCCAAACTCACAGTCCTCAAGATCCAGCAGGGACACCTCCTTGGCTGCAGGGACGCTTTTGCTGCTGGGAGGCTGCAAGAGAACACGGGGTGTGGGCATGGGAGGGAGTGCCCGGGTACAGGACACACTGAGTGTCTGGAAGGTGGGAGGACCCTGTCCCAGAGCCCACCCCTCTCGCCCGACTCTCACCGTCTTCTTTCTCCAGGACACAGGTTCCCCCTGCTCCTCCTCGCTCTCCGACGACACCTCGGACTCTGAGGAGCTGCTGCTGGAATCGCTGCCCTCATCGGAGGATGAGCCTTCTCCTTGTCCCTCCGTCACCTTCTTCCTCTTCTTCCTCTTGCTCTTCTCACCTTCCTCCTCACTCTGTTCACTGTGGGACAGGGGCGGGGGCAGATGGGACTCAGGCCCAGCCTGGGCTCCCACTCCTGCCTCCCAGAAGAGCAGGGAAGCCCTGAAAAGTGGGGGTGAGGTGGGGAGCCTGGGCCAGTAGGGTCCTGTGCCAGTCCATGTCCGATTGCTTCTCTACACTGCATCCCTGAGACCTCCTGCAGCTCCTGAGAGCAGGCTCAGCAGGGGGTCCGCGGTAGCTGGCCGGGGGTCCCTGGGAGCTGGCCGGGGGTCCGCGGGAGCTGGCCGGGGGTCTGCAGGCCCCACCAGCTCACCAGGCTCAGGGGCTCTTAGGAGGGTGGCCTGGGCCTTCTTTTCTAGGGGCGACCCCAAGCCCCACCCTTCTCTTACCTTTCACTGCTCCTCCCCTTCTCCTCATCCTCATTGTCAGATTCGCTGCTCGACTCCCCAGAGCCGCTCTCGCTGCTGCTCTTGCTGTCCGGCTCGCTCTCGGACTCGGGGTCTGCGGAGGAACCATCTCAGACACCCCCCTCCCCCGCCCCGCCGCTCTCCCCTGACCCCGCTAAGTGCAGGCCTCCCGGTCCCCAGCAGGTGCCCTGGGCTCGCAGCTTCAGACTCAGCTCTGATGCTGCAACCCTCCCCCCGACCTGCCCCTGGTTCCAGGTGCCACCCAGACCAACGGGGACACAGCTGGACCCCCATGGACAGAGACCTGCACAAGCACACACACACCAGGAACCTGCAATCCCTCAGGTGAGTAAACACATAGGCAGGTGCATGTAGGTGCACACCCCCTTGGATACACAACCAGGTCACACACACACATGCGCCCGCACACGCCTCAGACAGCACACATGTGGGCAGCAGCACGGAGCCCAGCTCTCAATCTCCTCACCACTGTCTGCGGACTCCGTGGGGCCCGACTCGCCCTCAGAGTCCGAGTAGAAGGGTTTCTCCTTCTCCTTCCTCTTCTCCCGATTCGAGCTCTTGGTCCATTCAGGTACCTGGAGGTGGGGGGCGGGTAAGAGAGTTAGTAAATTGTGGTTGGGGTGGGGGAATGACAACACAGAGCCTCCTTATCCTTCACCCCACCTCTTCCGGGCCTTGGTCCTGTCCCAGGAGGAACTGGTGAGGGGTAGCTGCTCGCAGAGGGGGCACGGACAAACCAAGGAAGAGACAGAGGAGAGGGAAGGCACGGGGCCAGCACGCAGGGGAGGGGGGAGAGGAAGGAAGCACTGCAGGCCGAGCAGAGGGCACACGGCACACGGGGGTGGGGACCTCAGTGTATTCGCCCAGCAGGCCCACGTGGGTCTCAATAAGAGAGAGATCTTCTTCCTGTGTGTGGGGAGGGTGTCAGGAGGGTGTGGCCAGCTCGCGAGACACCAGGGATCCCTGCCATCTGTCCCTCCACCTGCGAGACTCAACCTCCACCCCCCGCTGACCTCCACGTTGCGCACGGAGGGGTCCGGGGCTTCCTCTGGCCAGTCTGGGAGCTCCTGGTAGCCTGTGGCCTTGGCATTGAGCAGGTGGGACAGTGAGCCCAGCTGGAAGTGGTCCCGGTCTGGGGACAGGGTGAGAGGTCAGCCTGTGAGTTATTTCCTAGGGGTTGGTGTTGATCCTGGTTGTGGAGGGTGAGGTGGGGGAGCCTCGCTGGGTAGATGAAAGGGTGGATGTGCCTCTTAATCGCTCTTCCACCCTGACCTTCAGGCCCACATGCTGGAGGGAAGGTGCTCTGGCCCGACCAGAGCAGGCTGAGGGGAGGAGGCAGGTGAGGGCGGAGGAGGGACCCTGGCCCACGGGTGCTGCTGGCCCTGGGTGGTGGGAATGTGGTGTCCACTCTCTTCCAGGGCAGTAGGGGCTGGGTGCTCAGCACCGCCAGGTTCCAGAAGGAGGCCCCACAGGGATGAGCACAGCGACCAGGAATGAGAGGCTGGCCCGTGTGTGCCAGGGCCTGGAGTGGTGAGAGCCCCGTGGGAGCAGGAGAAGGTCAGGGCCAGAGGAGGGCAGCACAGAGACTTGCGAGTGGGGACGGTCCTGGGAGGAGAAAGGGACAGTTCCCTTCCTCCCAGGAGATTTTCAAATCTGCCCCTTCCCTCGAATGGGGGTCCCCACTTCAGCTCCCACCTTTGAAGGACGACTCCAGGACAGGGGCTGGTTTGGGCGCCAGGAAGAGCTTCTTGGCGTGGCGGCTGAGGGCCCCGCCCTGCTCCGAAGGCACGATGAGCTGCCGGGTGAAGCGTGCGCGGTCACGGATGTCATAGTTCTGGTCGTACTTGGCCAGGCTCAGCACGTACTGGGTCAGTAGCTTGGTCTTGGGGACAAGAGAGGGTGAGCACCGGTCAGGGAGTGGGGGACACAGGAGGTCCCAGACCAGGCTCTGACCGACACCATTGCATGGGGCTGCCCTCCCTCCACCCCAGTCCTTCCCACAGACTTTATGTTCTCTCACCTCCCTGACTCTTGACCCAA